AATATAATATAATAATAATAATAATAATAATAATAATAATAATAATAATAATATGAATAATAATAAGACGATAAATTTGCTATATAGTTACAAAATTAATTAGTAAAATTATTCAATTTAATTAAAATAGTAACAAAAATAAATATTTACACTTTTACTTTTTCATATGGTGATGATCTCCTCATACAATCCGCATAAATATCATGAATTGTAGATACATTAGCATCACTTAATAATTGCCAAGCTATCGTACGAAAATGTTGAGGGATACCACGACGAACAAGTTCCTATAACTAATACTTTACCTTATGGATAAGTATATTCATTACTTTCATATTTTATCATATCATATCATATTTTGCCTATTCATTTTCTAAACTCAAATTTACACAGCTATTATCAGTTATTATTTTACTTCATGGATAAGTATTATCCATTACTTTCATATCATTTCATTCTCTAAGCTAAAATTCATATAGTTAATAGGAGTTTACTTAATGGATAAGTATGTCCATTACTTTTATACTATATCATTTCATTTCTTCACAATTCTGACGTTTTTTTTCGGGGTCTTTTTTCTGTTGTTTTTTTTTTCCTTCATGATTTTTTTTTTTTTTAATAATAATAGAAACTTTGAGTTACGAAACCTTAATATAATTTGGCCTTTTCCGGATTTCTACCTCCCAATTTTTGATTAGATTCCCCCAAATAGCCCAAAGATCCAAATCTTCATCATCTTCTGCCGGTACACTATTTTCCCGCGATTTATTTGACCTGAAATGACAATTTATGGCGCTAGTATTTTGATTCAAAAGGTCAAGTTTATGTAGTTAGTGATTCGCATTGTCAAATACCCTAGATTATTAAGGAAGCTTTATTCGATGTAAATTTAACTTTCCAAAGCGCTCACTTTTCAGTTCCATGCAAGCCGAAAAAAGATGTCATATATGTCATTAGCAATTCAAAATTATAGAATCCATCATGAACTAATACTTAATTTGAAGCATATTGTTTTAGTGACAAAACCCTCTAATAAGAAGATTATTTTTATCACAAGAAGCTTAGTAAGATTATATATCTTTAGATTATCAACCCTAAAAATAAACGAAAATACGTAAAACAAGGAAATTATATGAAACGAACAAATATAAAATAAAATAAAAATTTGATAAAACCTGAATAATGAAATCAAAAAATTATAGTATAATTGAGTAATGAAATTGACAAGATTTTGACTAAAATTCAAAAAAATTCAAAATTGAAATTATTAAAATATAAATTTTTTAGTAACAAAACTGAAAGATAATTTAAGTTTAAAAAGATTTGATTAAATGAATCAAATTTGAAAAGTGCATAAAATATGAAAAAAATCAAAATTTTGTTTGTTTTTTTCTTAATTAAAAAAAGCAACGACACCTTGGACTAAAGCTATCAGTTAATGTACCACCAGAGCTACTTGAACCGGTTCGTCTGGATGCAACAGAGCGTGAATCAAGTTCATTAAACGTATTCATTTGTTCCATCTTCATTAGAATTGAAACAACCGGTTCTGGTACTTTTTCGTCTAATTTAATCCTAGCACTACTACCACTGTTCACCGAACAAGCACCGGTTTTTTCTGCTTCAACTGTTCTTGAAGTAAGTGATTCACTAGCACCAGACAATGATTCGTTTGGTAATTCTGAAAAAAAAAAAATTGTTTTGATTTGAATTAATAAACATATTTAATATCAAATAAATATGTCAACGATGATTGCGAATAAAATTTGAATTTGTGAAAATAAAATATTTTTATTTTATTTATTTTTTAACAAAATATTTTCATTTTAATGTCGAAATAATATCTAAAAATGTAATTTAAACAAACAAAAAAAAAAAAAATTGAAATAAAAAGAAGTTAAACAATTTGCAAAAGAAAAGATAAAAGGAAAGTGAGAGATGAAAGAAGAAAACAAACGATAAAATATTCTCATGATTAAAGTAATATAATTTATCAAACTGATTATAGATTAACTGGCATTATTAGCTAAGTCAATGTTTGGTTCCTTGTCTTTTTTTTTTCTTTCGTTCTTTTTCTCTCTCCATCTCTCCCTTTCTCTCATATTCTTTGATAAAATTCGAAAAATATTAGCTTATGTGGAAAAAGTTAGACATTAGTTGAGAAAAAATTTTTTTCCTGCATTAACATTAATTAAGAAACGAAATTGAAATTAAAATTAAAATAAATATAAATTGAAATCATATAAATAAAATCAAATATCGCATAAATTGAAATAATTCAGATTTTAATTGATTATGAATTGATTTATTGATCTAGATTTGGCTCATACAAAATTCCTTGAAATTATCAGTGAATTAATTTTTAGATTTGATTCGATCAATCAGTGAATCCTTAACTATTACTCTTAGATGAATTATCTGAATTATCAATTAATTAATTCTTAAATTTGACCTTTGGTTATATTCTTGGCTATAATTAATGATAAAATTAATTCATTGAAATAATTTTTGTCCCATAATTATCTATCAAAATATATATGTAAATTGTCCCATCGTTCTTACTGATTGAAATATGTTAATGAAAAGACTGGTCAATGGTTTGGTAATTTTAAAAAAAAAAGGTATTTTCTAGACAAACGATTGGAAGTAATGAAATTAAACGGAAAATGGTCGATAAAAAAAAAAGAAAAGGAAAAAGAGAGAAAGAAGAGAAATAAACAAAAATGTGAAATTTTTGCAAAAAAAAAATAAAAACGAAAAAAATGCAAGAAAAAGAGAAGGAAAAATAAAGGAATTAACAATTTTAACCCAATTTTCATCTTTTTTCTTTCCAGTCATTATAATGATTGAAATTTATTGCCAATTTTAAATTGGAAAATTAATTAAAGTTAATTAAAAGTTAATTAAATTATTCAATTAGAAATTAAATTAACCAAACAATTCAAATTAATTAGAAGAAGTTTGCACACTTTCATTATTTTTATTATTATTATTTTAAGGAAAAATATAGCAATAAATTTGTGAAGTTTTATTTTTTTTCCGTTTGTTTAAATTAATTTTTATCACTAAAAGACTTATTTATTTTTTTTTAAATTAAATTCTTAAATTATATGAAATTAAAATTATTATAAGTTTAAGGAATTTGGGAGTTTTTCTTTTTTTTTTGACTAGAAATCTATTATAATTTTAATGTTATAAATTTTTCCCTTCGGAAACATTAAGAAAGAGCAATTAATTTCATCTGTTTT